GCTCAGAGAAGACCACAGGACAGCCCCGCCTACGCTCTGTGCCAAACCTGAGCTCCTTGTTTCTCTTGGCAGCACAAGCTCTCTGAGGTGTCAGGGTAAAAAGATCCTCTCTGCCTCGGGCCATAAACAAGTCTCAGTCCTGCCTAAGAAGTTGTGGAGCCCCCACATGCAGATTCAGGTCTCAGCCCCGCCCCCGCCCGGGCACTATGCACAGGAGGAGATGGTAGCTGTGGCTGAGCCCTGCCTCTCTTCTTGCGAGTTGTGCCAGTAATGGCACAGGTCTGAGGAGACAAAGGCTTCAGCACCCCTCCCACCAGGGCACATGCCTGTTTATAGTTTTGTTTACATTCTGAGTTAAAATTTACCTGACAATGAAATGTATAAATTAGGCTTTTGAGGTTCATTCTTGTATCAGTATTTGATTCTTTTCTATTGTTGAATTGTATTCCATTGTTTGAATATACTATCATTTGTTTTATCCATTCTCCTACTGATAAATACTTAGGCTTTGGATATCTTTTTTTGCAAGCAAACATTTTTTTAAAAAATCCAAATATAATATACATGCTTAAATGTGAACATATCTTAAGTATACAGTTCAGTGATTTTTTCACAAAGTAAACACATATATGTAACCTTCATCCAGTCAAGAAACAGAACATTGCTGTTCCACTTTGGGTTTCTTCCCAGATACTACGGCACCCCTTTGATGGATTCATCATCCTAAATTCAGCCACCATGGATTGGTTTTTTTGCTTTTGAAATTTTTATTCCCGTACATTCCACTCAACATTATGTAAGATTCATCCACTAGTGTTTTCTGTAAACTAGTATATTTATTTTTATTGCTTTAAAGTATACAACTTGTATGCATGTGCCACCACTTATGGTTATGTATTTACTGTTGACAGTTGTTTGGGTCATTTTCTATTTGGGGCTATAACAAATAGTGACTATGAGAATTTTTGGAAGTCCTTTGGTGCTCAGATGTAGAAGTTTCTGAAGGGTACACACATGGGTTACCCTTGGTAATAGGGTGTGTGTGTGTGTGTTTGTATGTGTACGTGTGTGTGTACATATATACACACACACACATATACATATATAACTTTCATTCAAAAAGCCTATTCCCAAAGTATTTGTAAGAATTTATATTCCCACTGGCCATGTGTAAGAGTCCCCATTGCATGTTGCCCTCATCAATGCTTCATATCACTTAACAACTATTCTAGTGGATGTCTAATGGTGTTCCAAGTGTGGTTTTAGTATGTATTTTTATTATTACTAAAGAGGTCAGCCCCTTTTCATAGCTTATTTGGATTTTTTTTTGTGAAGCATCTGTTCAATTTTTTTGCACATTTTAATATTGAGGTTCTGCCTTTTTCTCCACTGGTTTTTGTTCTCTATATGCCCTAGATACAAGTCTTTT